GAACAGCAGTTCCTACCATTTTCCTCAGCATGGTCCTCAATAAACATAATAAGCATGTGTAGTATATTGCCACTTAGAACAAATATTTGAAGCACAGCCTCATACCTTGACTTGTCAGCTAAGCCATTGTTTCTGCTGTGAACTTTTATAGACTCCTAATGTTACCAAATGGGTCCTATATATTCTTGTGTGGCAAAATGTCAACAAGGGTGAATGAGATTTTTTTTTGAGACACTATTATTATTTTAATGTAAAAGCTTCCAGGAAAGAGGGAGAGAAAGGCAATAAAAAAAAAACCACAGGTATTCTCTTCAGGGTGGAAAAGCAGTCAAACAAAATCTTGCAGCTTGATTTAGAGGGTTCTGGTGTATTAAAAATGGTCTGTGTATTTACTGCACCACACACCACACTGCTATGTTGAAAAGCAACATACAGCCCTGACAGGAAATGTGATTTTGGGGAGAGCATGATGTGGAATGTACTGTTCTAGTCTCAGGATATCCATTTCACTCCCTTTATTTTCTTTGTTGGAGAGATGTCACTTTCATAAAATATTTATTTTAGGAATAATACACTGCCAGTTATTTAGTTCAGGTGCGTGACTGGACTGTAGTTTTGATAATCAGAAGCTTTAATCAGCAGTGTCTGCCATAAATGGCTTGCATGGCAAAGAAGCCCTGTAAAAATGCTTTCTTGGATACAAAGAGTTTGTTTGCTTCAGTTGATGTGAGATCCACTCATTCATGTCAAATAAAGTCATATTATAATAACTGTCATCTCTGTGTTGCCTTTTATTCGTAATGGTTGCCCATTGAATGTTGTGTTGAGTTCACTTGTATTTATTTGTTTGAGTCAGGAAATTTCCCTCGGTGCCCACCCTTCTATTCCTCTATTCATATGTTTAAGTCACAAAATGGCCCTCAGTGCCAACAGGTATTCCCTCTGTTGTGGAATGTAAGCATCTGTCAGAGGGGGAAAAAAAACCAGATTTCCAATTTATTCATTAAACGGGTTTTTCCAAAGGCAAAGACAAAGCGATATGAATGGAGTGGATTTGGAATGCAGAGTTCATAATATGAGCTCCGTTGCTTGAAAAACTTCCCCTAAGACCAAATATTTCTACGTTTACGCTTTTCCTACCTTGAGTTTGGGTATGCCCCTGCCATCTTTGCTTGCTTCCCCCCTGACATATGTGGTTTAAGTGATAGTAAGAGGGCAATACTGAAATCTTTGAGGCACATAGAGCACTGGAAATGTAGTTTCCCATAATGCTTGAACCCCTAAATCTCCAGAATGCCTACGTTTTGCAGGCCAACGATTACCAAGGATACTGTGGTTACAGAAAGGGAGGGAAGGGGATCCTCACGCTGAAGTTTCTAAATGCATCTATCATTGCTAAGTTAAGTTTGAGGAAGAGAAGAAATCATGGAACAGGGTTTATCTATTTGGCTGTTCCACACACTTGGACTCTTCTGGTGACATGTGGAGAAAAAAAATACTATTTTCCCTCTTTGGGTGGTGGGAAGACTTCATTTTGCTTAGTCCAATTCAAAACCATATCAAGGGCAACCTGGACACTGAAAACAGACAGCTGAGAGGCTGGTCAGTAGCTCTTATTCATGACTCCTTTACCTCACTAAGTATGTGTAACTCAGGACCCACTTCTGGATTCTCCTCTTGTTCATTTCTTTTGCTCTGCCTTGCCTGTTTCCAAGTCTGAAGCTGCCTAACATCATAAAAGAAATTCAGACTGTGCTGCTGAATTTGTTCATGCCAGTAGAATTTTACTGAGGTTAAATTATGCTCACTTGGCTATTAAATAATAATTCAGTGCACAAGTGGGACTCATAGGAGAAAATGATGACACATTCAGCTGAAGCTTATTGATGGTGCTTCATACCTGTCAGTGTCAGCTCATAAAACAGTGTCAAACATCTGGCGGCTATTTTGTTTATGAATATTGTCCATTAGGAGGAAATGAGGACTGAAAATAAACATTCCACTGAAAAAAGGTGAAAAAGATTTGCTACAGTACATGCTTGCATAGCGAGATATAACAATAATATCAATAGGTTGTGGTAGCATTGGTTCTTAGCAAACCTTGCGTCACTGAAATTGGTTCAGCTTTAGGAGAATTTTGTCTCCTTTATTTGTTTGTTTGTTTGTTTGGTTGGTTGGTTGGTTCGTTTGTTCGTTTATCCGTGCCATTACTAGTGGTCTCTGAGAGGCGTACAACAATATTAAAACTTTAAAAACATTAAAACCATGAAAACAGGCAATATTATAATAATATCCTATATTTAAAACAATCATTAAAACATTAATATTAATAAATCCTGCTGCTCATATGGCCAGCTAAAGAACATTATTTGATTAAAATGCTGGCTAAACAGAAAGGTCTTTGCCTGGCACCAAAAAGCCAAAAGTGTTGAAACCAGGCGGATCTCTATAGGGAGGGCATTCCAAAGTTGGGGGGGCAACAGCTGAGAAGGCCCTATTTCAACATGCCATCCCCCTCACCTCTTTCAGGGATGGCACCTTCAGAAGGGCCTCCTGGCCTGATCATAGAGGATGGGTAGACTTGTATAGAAGAAGGCGGTCCTTTAGGTAACCAGGTCCTAAGCCCTTTAGGGCTTTATATGTCAAAGTAAGCACTCTGAATTGGGCCCGAGCAGACACTGGCAGCCAGTGTAAATTTTTCAGAACCAGCGTGATATGAGTCCATGCAGTGGCACAACTTACCAGCTGCGCAGCCCAGTTCTGTGCCAGTTGCAGTTGCCAGACTGTATTCAAAGGCTGCCCCATGTATAGTGCATTACAGTAGTCCAGTCTAGTTTTTGCCAGTGCATGTGTGACTGTTGCCAGGCTCCACTCATCCAGGTAAGGGTGAGGTTGATATATTCTCTGCAGCTGTAAGAAAGTACCCCTTGACACCAAGTCCACATGGGCTTCCAAGGTCAGACCCGGGTCAAGGAACACCCCCAAGCTGCAGACCCTGTCCATTAGGGGGAGTGTAACCCCATCTAAGGCAGGGAAATGGCCCTTTAATCTTTCTGGCAGAGCACCAACCAGCAGCACTTCCGATTTGAGGCTCAGTTTATTGACCCTCATCCATCTATTATCGAGTCCATACACGAGTTCAGAATAGCGATTGCCACACCTGGATTGTTAGAGAATGAGAGGTAGAGCTGAGTGTCATCAGCATATTGCTGACTCCTCAGCCCAAACCACCTAAAAACCTCCCCCAGTAGTTTCATGTAGATATTGAATAGCATGGGGGACAGTATGGAGCCCTGAGGAACCACATGATGCAATTGCCATGGATCAGGATCATGGATACTGTCCCCCAGCACTACTTTCTGGACCCGATCAGCCAGGTAAGATCCGAATCATCGTAAAATGGTGCCTCCCATTCTCATTCCAGCCAATCTGTTCAGAAGGATCCCATGGTTGATGGTGTTGACAGCCGCCGAGAGGTCCAGGAGAATCAACAGGGGTGCATCCCCCCTGTCTTTCTCCCAGCAAAGTTAATCAAACAGGGCAACCAAGGCAGTCGCCATCCCATTTCTCATTCTTTGTTAGCAATTGTTGACAAACATGTTAGGGGAGGGAAAGTACAGGAACCCAGTCTCTGACATGTATGTAATTCAGTCTTAAATTTTAAGATTTAACACCTTCAGATGTTAAAATCTAGGTTATAAGTTCAAGGAGATATCACAATTATATTAGAATATCAAAAAGGGAAAATACCGTATTTTTCGCTCCATAAGACTCTCCTTTCCATAAGACGCACCAATTTTTAGGAGAAGAAAACAGGAAAATATAATCTGTTTTCTTCGCTCCATAAGACGCAAAGACTTTCCACCCCCCTGTTTTGTGGGGAAAAAGTGTGTCTTATGGTGCGAAAAATACGGTAATTGTAGCTTTAAGAGATGTTTCCCATTGTGCTGCCATTGGTCTCTTCCTCCTTCCTCAAACCATTCTGGTTTACAACTGATTTGTCAGGAGACCATGTACACAAATCCAAACAGTTTCAAAATATTCAGGCCCACAATCCCGTTTATAGTAAGTTTGTGTCAGTAGAACTTCAAATATTTATTTCTAAGCTGTCATTCTCTTTATTTTCAAGGTCACCCAGGTGGCAAGCTTGTGTTTGGGAGTTTTTATAATGAAATACTCCACTGCGTGAAGACAGCTATGGAACTGGAGTACAACTTACATGATACGTTCTTCAACAGCCCTTTTAGGGTTACCACCATCTTAGACACAACTTACATTATAGAGACTGACCACTTGGTGGCAGCAAAATCAAGCAGTGCTGCTACATCACTCATCTGAGGCTAGTTACTTGCTAACAGACAGATTATAGAAATATTTCTGCAGTGTAGATATTCATTGTGATTTAACTTGAAGATAATCAGGCAAAGTCGATGATTCTTTTGCACTAGTATCTGCTTTGAATTTCTACCTCAAGTTCAGGCTGTAATAATAGAAGGAAAAAAACACACCCTACTTTTGCATTTTAAGATGTGAAGAGTTTTTTCTGTAGAGAAGCATAATATCTTTGTGCCAAAATTCCCAGAATACTTCAACCAGCCTGGGCAGAAAATATATAACCTTTTATATAGGATAATCTTTTTCAAGAAAAGATGCATTTTTAACGTTCAGAAAGGGGCCTTTCTTTCAAATATCTCAACCGACAATTTCTTCAGGAAATTTCTAAAATGAATATGCCTTCTTCTTTTACCTTGATTTTTGTAGAGCTCAGCTTGACTTGGGGGGCATATGCCTCGATAGGTAAGTAACGAAAAGTTATTTAAAAATACTTCAAATTTGCTTCTAAAACTCAGTGGCATTCTGTATCCCCTCTCCTACATCAGATTTATGGGTTACTTTTTACTTCCTACTACGAAAGCAGCTTCTAGACTTCTTTGTACAATAATGTTATCCTGTTAAAACCAGACTGAAAATTGGAGAGGTTTCGCACATGTTCTCGAGTCACCATTTATTATGCTGTGGAGCAGAGGGAAGTTTCTGACAAATGTTAAGAACATCAATAGGACTTTAATGGTGGGAGAACCCTTTTTGGGTTGCCAGCCTTCATCCCACAAGATGATATGTCATTGGACTTTCATGTAGAAACCTTAAGAACAGACTGCATTCTTATAGAATGATGAATCTTCATAAGCTTAGAAAGCAGTGGTCCATCCTTCCAAGTGTAACCAAGGCAACATGTTGGTGCCATGGGCCCTTGAGCTATTCTTCTTGACTTTAAGGCAGCAAATCTAAAGAAAGAAGAGGCAGGACAAACGTCAGGCTTTAACAAGCCCTGCAGAAAAGAGGTCTTCTGTCAATGTGATGCTATATTTCATGTTGTGGCTCCACGTGACATGTTGTCTGGCTACAGCTTGAAGGCTATTAGGGAAGGGTCCGCTTTGAGTGCTAAGCAAGAATTGTGGCTCATGATTATACCACCGTGTGGAGGCCCCGGTGGAAAGAGTTTAAGCCTGTGACCATTGCTTTGAAACCAAGTTGGCCATCAGTATGAGCAACTGCTGACAGCAAGTCCACATATTAAGAACATCTCCTGGTTGTAGTAATGACATCAAAGAAAGAAAATGATTCAGTTACATAATGTCATATATATATTCAGCATAAATACAATCAATGAACAGGTTTAAGCAGATATTTTGCTATCTATCTAGATAGTTCTATTACATGATCTTATCTGTGCTATCAACCAGCTTTTCTCAACTTATTTACACATGCTACTTTTGCTTAGCCACATGCACTAAAGAAATTTTAACAGATCATGCAAAACAACCCTCTCAAGTAGAACAGGATGCCCAGTGATGTAGTGGATAGAGTGATGGACTAGGACTTGGGAGGCTTTAGTTCAAATCCTTGCTCAGCCATAGAAAGTCACTGGGCAAAGGTAAAACCACTCCTTAAATGTATCACTTACTTTGAAGCCCTATTGTGTGTTTGTGTTCTGTGCGATCAAGTCAGAACTGAATTTCAAGGTAACTGAGATATTCAAGGAATGGTTTTACCAGTTCCTCTCCCCCAGTGAATTTCGATGACCAAGTGGGGATTCAAACCTTGTTCTCCAGAGCCCTGGTCCGTCATTCTATCCACTACACCACACTGGGATTCCCTGAACCCCTATTGGGATTGTTATAAGTTGGTTCTAACTTGATGGCACATAACAACAATAAATGGAATAGGACTTCAAGAGTCGTGTGCAGTCTGCAAAGTCCTCTGTCACAGGATCCATGGATTTTCCAGACAGTGTTTCTCCAAAGAGAACAGTGTGTATGTTTCTGTGTAAGCCAACCAGAACTCCCAAGAAGTAAAACCTGGCTTTTAACAGAATCTACAAGATCCTAAGAGAGAGTTGCAAAATACAAACAAAAGACAACAAATTATTTCAACAAATTCCTGTTTTACTTCAGCATAGATTGAGATAGAAATTGTACTGACCCTTTTCTTGCTAACCACATCTTCGTACATTTCATTGCCACTTTCCAGCTAGGCTAACAAGATCCTCTAATCAAGTTTCCTTGAAAAGAAATTAATTATTCACAACACACTAATTATGTAAATTACTTGCTTAGGAAGAGAGCTAAGGTTTCTCTCTTTTTAAGTCATTGCCCATCCAGATTGTCCAGATCTGAGACTGAGACTTTAACTTTGAAGATGGTCAAAACCTCCTGATCAGGTTGTGTAGTTCCCACAGCTTTGGAAAAAACCTTAGTGAGATCTCAACTGAAGAAATTAAATCTAGATGCTGTTCTTTTGGAAAACTAGTACTCAGAATCAAATTTGTCATTCATCATTAATACACAGAAAGAGATGAAGAATATAATTTCTACGCAGTTTTGGGTAATATTGACTAGTATTATCCACTATATATCATCCACACTATTGTATTGCTATGTACATTTGTGAAAGCTGGACAGAGAAGAAAGTTGACAGGAAAAAAAACACTGATTCACACAGAAAGAGATGAAGAATATAATTTCTATGCAGTTTTGGGTAATATTGACTAGTATAATTCACTATATATCATCCACACTATTGTATTACTATGTACATTTGTGAAAGCTGGACAGAAGAAGAAAGTTGACAGGAAAAAAATTATTCATTTGGAATATGATGCTGGAAGAGAGCTTTGCAGATATCTTAGATGGTCAGAAAGAACAAGTGGGTCCTAGAGCAAACCAAATCTTATCTATCTCTGGAGGCAAAAATGACTAAGACTGATGTTCTTTGGGTACATCTTGAGAAGGCAAGAATTGCTGGGAAAGATGACTAAGACTGATGTTCTTTGGGTACATCATGAGAAGGCACTAATGCTGTGAAAGGTTGAGAGCAGAAGGAAAAGAGGAAGACCAAATATCAAACAGATTGACTCGCTAAAGGAAGCCAAAGTCTTGAGTTCACAAGAGCAGAGCAGCACTGTTGAGGGCAAGACATTTGCTCTTTCATAGGATCGCCATAAGTTAGAGGTGACTTGACAGCATGTAACAACAACAATGATACTAATGAGTATAACACAGTATTAAGTACTGTGTGGAAATAGGAGTGGGTGGGACCCAAACAAGCAAGGTCACACTTACACATGCAGACATGTGTAAGGAGAGGGAAGGTGTGGGTGATCATGGAACAAAGGAAGGCTAATTGCCATAGAGAAAGAACCAAGGAGTTGACAACAGATGTCCGAGCCAGTGGAGCCTACAGGCAATACCCTAAGAGCTCTTTTATTTACTTAGCATGATTACATAGCATGTTGTTAAAATCCAGATAGGATACTAGTTACCAAGTTATTTACTTAGCATGATTACATAGCATGTTGTTAAAATTCAGATAGGATACTAGTTACCTAATTGCAACTAGGATTGGCTGAAATAACCCTTTGATCTTATGCTCTACCTTTAAACGAAAGAGCAGTATAAGGGGGTTACCCCACCTGCTGGCAACTGCCACTTCCTGCCAGGAGTGTATGCACTTCACTGGAACAGAATGCAGCTACAACCTTCAAGCAGAAATTTCCCACATTCCCCCCTTTCTTATATTTAAGCAAAGTCATATATTCTTTCATATATTTGCGAACTACATATAAATCTTTTTGGCAAAGGCCTGAGGGTGAAGCTTTGAAGCAGGTACTTATTATGGAAAAGAAGGTTGGTATACATTGAATGAATCAACAACAACTTATAAGGAGCATGAGGAGCATAATTCCATATATTAACGCAGTGCAAAGCCAACCAAAGTGGGGCAGCCATGACCATAAACTGTCCCACCAGAAAGGATGTCCTGTCGTATGTTATTGGCAAGCTAACTAAGCTGAGTAAGTTGATTATTTACTGCATGACTATTATCAGATAAGTTAAAGCAACAGAGATTGTTAAAAGATTCACAACTGATGTGATTATGCAACATGAGATAATCCAATGCTGCGCGGTTGTCTAAAATAGTGTCACATAGTTGTCGTTGTTCCTGATTCAGCAGGGCAATAGCAGTGGAAGTGCGGTTAATAGCTCTAGCTAAGGTGCCTGCAATGTTGGCAAGAGTGCGAGAATTATGAACAGCAAGACCAGGAATGCCAACAAATGACGCAGCCGGTGAAACATATTCTGCTTTGGATAACAAAGTAACATTACCATCACAAATAATATCAAGAGACAAGCTTTCTTGTCTCAGCCAAGTCAAGGAGTCCTGCAAGGCAAAAATTTGCATTAAGTTGATAGCTAATCTACTAAAACAGCATTGTGTTTTTGACAGATTAGCTGTAATGTAGCTAAAAGTATGTTGACCACATGTAAAAAACCACCCTGTAGGTAGGATGATATGTGCCCAATTATAAGAAATGTTGACAGCATGCATACAAGTCCATGCAGCTTGGGTTGTAGAAATGCACGTGTTAGAAGAACAGTTGACTACTCTGGCACATGAAGTGTTTTCATTAGTTGCTACAAAGGGGGTGTAGAGGGAAAAGGCATCAATGGGTAGCATTTTTGTTGTTCGCCCCCAGTCAGGAGAATTAGTGTATTTAATGACAGTGGCATTAAACCATTGGCCTAACCAAGTGTCATTAGGTTCTTTACAGACAGGAATTAAGCAAGTTCCCAGTAATCCATGCATAGCATATGCCTCCTGCAGACAGAAGTGAGAGACGTTCACAATTTCCGCTAACCTTTCCCATAAGTTAAATTGCAGATGGGCATCCTCTCGAGCCTCTGTGACACCTATTGGAACAGCTCTAAGAATGAGAACACAGCACAAGAGCGTAATGGAGTTGGCATTCAGCTGCAAGATAATGGCTGCTAGAAAAGTTTCAGGAGTTTCCAGGATCTGCTGCTGATCTAGAGTTCTTTTTGCATCAGCACCCAGCGTCTTTATCATCCCCCAAGTAACTTTGGGCTGGGTGCCCTCAGGTCAGGCTGGCAACACATAGTCATCTGCTCCAACTCCGGGTTAGAGTCATCACTGGATTGAAATCCGGAATGGGGTTCTGCAGGTTGCAGTGCCAACTCATTCTTCCTATGATATGGCCTCACACACTGAGCCGGGATCCACAAGGGACCTGTGGGAGTAAACACAGCAACATAGCCATGCCCCCATGTTAGTAAAGGGGCTGGACCCTCCCACTGAGGGCCAGGAGGTTGCTTATAAGTCAGCAGCAGCTGTTCCATGGGGATTTCTTTACAAAAGTGTTTCTTTACTAGCAACAACTTATGCTGACCTGCAGGTACAGTTAAATGATTTAATGTGAACAATACTATTGATACTACATCTGGAATGTCTTTGGGCTTGATCTCTCTGTTTTTTGTTTGTTTTGAAAGGAGAAATTTAAAAGAGCTGTGTGCTCGTTCTACAATAGCCTGTCCTGTGCAGTTATAAGGAATACCATGGGAAAGGTGAAAGTCCCATTCATTGCAGGAAATGGTAAAGGCATGAGAAATATAGGCAGGGCCATAGTCTGTTTTTAAGGCTTGAGGCTGGCCCATAATTGCAAATGTACATAAACAATGTTATATGACATGGTGAGAGGTCTCGCCATGAAGAGGGGTAGCCCAGATGTATCCTGAATAAGTATCAATAGTTAGATGAACATAAGAAAGAGGAGCAAGGGTAGGAACATGAGTGAAATCCATTTGTCAAAGCTGATTGGCATCCATTCCTCGTGGGTTAACAGTATCAAAAGGAAAGGAAATAGGAGACATAGAACAGGAAGAGCAAGAGGAGACAATCTTGAGCTTGAGAAAGCGGAATAGAAAAT